TCCACAAGGTAAGGAGGTACTAACCTGCCTGAGGTTGACTGCTTCAGGCCAGGGTCGAGCAGGTTATGTCCATGTGGGGAAGACATCAGACAGACAGACAGACAGACAGACAGACAGACAGACAGACTGTTTTCCCTCCTGTGTCCAACTAGGAGGTGTGTGAATCAGCAGATGACACTCTCTTAGACCTGGTAGACTACTGCCACCGCAAACTGACACTGCTGGTAGGCAAGACTAGCCATGGTGGCCCCCCTAAAGAAGACAGGCTCCAGGATAGTACCCCTATGCAGGTAGGTTGAGGTTTCCTAAGGTTGGTATAAAGCCCAAAATTTGGGTTTCCCAAGGCCTCTACAGGCAGGGGGTGGTCCAGCTAGAACACTTGTGTGGCCCTCCTAGGAGTTGCAGAACCAGGCAGAGCTAATGGAATTTGACATCTCACTGAAAGCCCTGTCAGTACTGCGTTACATCACAGACTGTGTGGACAGGTAGGCAGTCCTCCGGGGCTTGGTGTCACAGTGGACAGCTGGAGGACTGGGCTGATATCCTCTGCTCACCTCCATGCACCCTCCCTTAGCCTTTCCCTGAGCACCCTGAGTCGCATGCTCAGCACCCACAATCTACCCTGCCTCCTGGTTGAACTGCTGGAGCACAGTCCTTGGAAGCGGCAGGAAGGAGGTAAGGTCTTCCCTCACCTAGGCTGGCCTCAAACTCACAGCAATCCTCCAGCTTCAGCCTCCCAAGTGCTGGGATTACAGGTGTGTGCCACCGCACCCAGCCATCCCTCAGGATTGATGGAAGTGGGTAGTGGGTAGTTGTGCACACAGACAAAACCTTTCCCTCAGAGAATGTACCACAATGCCTTACCCAAGGTGGGCCTGGACCTTGGCTCAGCAGCAGACAAATCCGATGATCACAATGCTGAGAACTCACACTGCTCCAGGGCCAGCACCATCATCATCACTGCCTGAGCAAGTCCTGTGGCCCAGGCTCTCCCACCGTGCCCAGGCAGTGGGTAATCCCTTACCCACACAGCAGGCTCACTCAAAAGAGATTACAAGGCCTGTTCCTAGTATACAGATTTTTCTCCCCAGGCAAGCTGCAGCAATTTGAGGGTGGCCGTTGGCAGGCAGTGATCCCCTCAGAGCAACAGAAGCTGGGCAAATTAGAAGGACAAGTATGGATTTCCCTATATAACCTGCTGCTAAGCCCTGAGTCCCAGGCTCACTACTGCCTCACAAGCTTTGCCAAGGGACAGCTACTCAAGGTGGGGAGTTCTTTGCACCTGTCCCCATGGTCCCAGCACTGCCCTATCCCATCCTACCCCTACTGCCTCCTTGTTGGTTATCTTTGCCTACCTGTCTCTTCCTCTGTGGTTTTTTGTTGTTGTTTTTGTTTGTTTGTTTGCCTATCAGGGATTGAACTCATGCCCTTGCACTTGCCAGGGAAGCGCTTACTCTACTGAGCCATCTCCCTGGCCCCCACCCGTCCTTTTTCTGAATCTTGAGCTTAGTAGATAGTGGGACATAAGCTCCACAGGAGCCTGGCCCAGGCCCTTGCACCTGTTTCACACTGACCTTCCCAGGATGCCCTTGCAGCTTCGGGCCTTCCTCACAGACACACTACTTGACCAGTTTCCCAACCTGGCAGATCTGAAGGGTTTCTTGGCTCACTTGGCTCTAGTTGAAACCCAGCCTTCTAAGAAGGACCTGGTATTGGAACAGGTAAGTACCTGTTAAGTTAGTCACTGAGGACCACTGTTCACTTTGCCAGCTTCTTCCTGCCCATCATCATTTCTCTACCCTAGATTCCAGAAATCTGGCGGCGGATGGAGCGAGAGAACAAAGGCAAATGGCAAGCTATTGCCAAGCACCAGCTTCAGCACGTTTTCAGCCCCTCTGAGCAGGACCTTCGGCTACAGGCACAAAGGTAAAAAATGCAGCTGAGCTGGCAGAGGGGCAGATGGGGTTCTTTTGTTCCCCTATTTGCCAAGGCCAGTCAGACCCTTTGGACCCCTTCTCCAGATGGGCTAAGACTTACAGGCTGGATGTGCTGGAGGCAGTGGCCCCAGAAAGGCCTCGTTGTGCTTACTGTGGTGCAGAGGCCTCCAAGCGCTGCTCCAGATGCCAGAAGGAATGGTATTGCTGCAGGTGAGGGTATCCTAAGAGCTTGGGCCCCAAGCCCTACTCCCAGATCTCCCATAAGCCCTGCCACCCTCACCTGTCCCATTTGCCTATTTGCCTGCAGGGAGTGCCAAGTCAAGCACTGGGAGAAACATGGAAAGGCTTGTGTCCTGGCAGCCCAGGGTAGCAGAGCTAAGTGAGGGCCGTGGCTGCTAAGAGCTGACCAAAACAACCCACACAGAATGTTCCCCTGAACCTAGGGATCTGGGTCCATTTTCTTCCAAGCCCCAGTCCCCCGAGTGCTAGACCAAGCAGAGTTGCTGGCCCATCCCCACCAATCACACCAAAAGAAGGCACCCCACTTCCTGTTCCCTCGACAGATATGCTGAGGGCAGGGAAAACTCAGCTTCAACAAAGTGGGGCAGGAGGTGTGGGTGAAAGCCGGATGTGGGGACCTTCTTCCTCCTGCACAATAAAGCTGAACCTCAGAAACTCTTGCCTCTCTCTGTATGTTTTGCTGTCGCCGTTTATGTGGGGGGTTTTGAAGGAGAGAGAAGAAAAGGAGGGATAGGGGCTCTTCATGCGTGTCCCCCTCCTATCACACCAGAGGGCTAACATCACCAGCTCGCATGAGGTTTTCACTGTGTTGCTAGCCAGTCTCCTAGCACTTTCCTGCCTCCCTGCCTCGATCTTGGGGGCGGCACCCAAATCGCAGCCCGCCCTGCGGCTCCGCCCCCCCCCCCCCCCCCAGCGCTCAGAGCTGGTGGAAACCCCGCCTGATCGGGCCATGTCGATGGAGCCAGAGCTCATTGAGTTGCAGGAGCTGTTACCCACTGGGCGCCCCGGCCTCGGCCGCACCCGGCTGGAGCGTGCCAACGCTTTGCGCATCGCGCCTGCTACTGTGCGCAAGCCCGCACAGCAGCAGGCCCCAGGCCGGGGCCACCACTTCCAGTCTGCAGGGCCCAGTACACACACATGGTGTGACCTCTGTGGCGACTTCATCTGGGGCGTTGTGCGCAAGGGCTTGCAGTGCACGCGTGAGTAGTAGCCCTGCACTCCAGCGAGAGTGGAATGGGTGGGTAAAGGGCAGCAACATCACTGCAGGGCAGCTCTCTGGAGTGAAGGGCGGATGGGGACTGTCCTGCGGACCAGGTCTCTTACTTTGCCTCACCATGAAACAGATTTCAGGAAGATGGTTTCTCTGTTCTGGCACTCCATGGGGGCTCGGTGTAGTTGGGCAGAGGTGGTTGTCTGTGAATAACAAAGTGCTTATTTCAAGTTTGTCTTTAAAGTAACTTGGCCCTTGTGGGGGGGGGGAACCTTTGTACCCACTGGCCTCTGAACCCATATTCCCAGTCAGGGCTGCCTCTTCCAATGATTCACCCGGTGTCTCCTCCAGAATTCCTGGGGTGAGGGGAAGTTAACCAACTATGGGAGGGGGCTTAGGAAAAGTTCAGAGTTTGGGTGGCCCCCCTGCAAGCTGTAATTCTGTTGAGTCTTTATTTAGCAAACATTTATTTTTGAGCCACTGAACCAGATGCTAAGGCTAGGAACACAGTCATGTGGTCCTACAAGCAAGAATCACCACGTCACTTTTACAACCCACCCCCCCAATGCCTGAATCCTATCTCAGAATTGTCAAGTCAGTTGCTGGAACTGGACCCTAGGTGGAATTTTGAAAACTTTCCAGATTATTCTAATATGCAACCCTGGGTTAAGAAGGAGTGTTTTGGACCATATAGGAACTTAGGGATGGTCCTTGGACCTGTGGAGGCATGGAGATCTCATTCAGTACTGGAATATGCCTACATTCTCTGGAGAAACACAGAATTTGTGACAGGACACAAAACAGGCTGGGACACTGCAGTGTTCTCAAGGAAAAATAAAGTCACCGTGATGAGAAACAAAAGGTAAAAGCAAAGGAATCAAAGATGAGTTTTTGCCTCAAACAACTGAGGGAGTAATGACGATTTGTTGCTGAGATGAGGAATCTGGCAAGGGCAGGGGTGAAGTGGAAGAACAGTTAAATTTGGCCCATTCACTTGAAATGTCAGATACGCAAAAGTACTGATCTGAGAGAGCAGGTTGGTGCTGGAGCTTTGGATCTGGGGCAGATGAGTGTAGACAGCAGGGCAGTGATCAGGACTAGGCCCTGGGCATCACCATTGGAGCTGGAAGCTAAGGCAGAATCAGTAAAGGAGCTAAGCATGAGCTGTAGAGAAGAAAGAGGAAAAACTAGAGTGGTACCTGGGAGGCAGCGAAGATGCAGAAAGAGTATAAAACAGACCCCCAAGTACCCCGACCTGGGTAGTTTTCTGGAGGGAAGGGCAGCCCTGACTGGAGTGAATAGAGTGAAGAGGAAAACTTAGGTGTATGGAAACCAGTGTTTTGGTCTGAGGGGTACAGCTGCTAGAGTAGATCATAAGTGTAAAAAAAAATTATTTTCTCCTCCAAGTCAAAGACAGAAGGGATAAGTAAACTCTGTGCCACTACCGGTCAGCGGCCTTACTCCCTAACTGCCTTCTGCCCAGTTTCTAGATACACACCTGAAAATCGGCACTAGAATCACTAGAGTCGGGGTAGCAGTGGGCGGTGGCCAGGCCTGAGATGGGGCGGGTCACACAGCCGGGCCAGATGCACCCCTCGCTCTAGGGCTCCCTTCGGTCCCCGGGACGCTTTTCCGAGCTGGAGCTAGGGCTTCTCTGCCTCACGGCCAGCCTTCTTTGCAGACTGCAAGTTCACCTGCCACTACCGTTGTCGCGCGCTTGTCTGCCTGGACTGCTGCGGGCCTCGGGACCTGGGTTGGGACCCCGCGCTGGAACGAGACACAAACGTGGTGAGCGCGGGGCCAGGGCCGTCCAAGCGGGGCGGGAATACGCGCATGGGCAAGAGAGAGAGCCGGCGACCGCGGGTAGCCCCAGTGCTGCGCCCTGTGAGGTTCTTAATACGTAGCTGACGACCCTGAGGTAGTGGGGTCAACTCCTCGCAAACTTAACCACAAGGGTTAGGGTGCTGCCTTCACGCGCCTCGGCGCACACGCGTCCCCCCACCCTTTTCCGCCTCGGCGCTGGCACGCACGCGCAAATTCGCCACACGCTCCCTCGGTGGGGCGGGGCCTGCCCGTCAGAGCTGGAGTGGAGCTGCTTGGGCGGTGAGGTCATTTTTGGAGGCGCAGTGTGTGTCCCCGCCCTTCGACGTTCCTCCCCCAATAAGACCAGAGCTGGCTCTCGGGTGTCTACGTTTCAGTCTTAACGGTTGCGGTGTGGCGCTAGCCCTGGCGCAAGCGCACACGGACCCACGCTCACACGCCGACGCGCCGCGGGCAGTGGTTAGAGGCTCGGGACTTAGGGCTAGGGTGCCGGGCGGACGCGGCGATGGGCGAGGCGGAGACGCCTTCTTTCGAGATGACCTGGAGCAGCACGACCAGCAGTGGCTACTGCAGCCAAGAGGACTCGGATTCAGAGCTCGAGCAGTACTTCACGGCGCGCACCTCGCTGGCCCGTAGACCGCGCCGAGACCAGGTGGGAGCCGGGGATGCGCGGGGCAGGCGCCAAAACCCGCCCAGCCCGGTGAGTTGCCGAGGCGGGAGCTGGTCCGGGCGGAGCCAGCCCGGAACCCTGAGTCGGGCTCCCCTCGGCCAAAGTTCCGGTTCCAATGCGTCGGTCTTGGTGTCTGACACAGACTGGTTGAACCAGGGCTAGCAGCTCGTAACTTGGGGTGGACGGGAGACAGGCGTTAGCCACCTATGACTAAAGGCAGCTGTGCAGCCCGAGCTAACATCTTGATTTCGCGTCTGGGCGCTCCACGCCCTCCCTTTGAGAACAGAGGAAGTGGAGGGGGAGGAATCCTCACCGATAAATAGAAATATGTTTCGGATGTACGCACTCCGCACCCCAGGATGGAGCTTCCTGGTCCTGCTCTATCACCATTGCTGGGACTTAAGAGGATGCAGTGCCTGGGGGGAAGCGAGGAACGTGTAGAAAGGAAGCCTCGTTTGGGCCTGAAAGTATTCCGGAGCAGTTTACCCAAAGGAGGATGAGAATGTCCTAAGAGGAGTACAAAGGAAGATCCAAGCTACCAATCCAAGTTTGTAAAGTAAGGCTCCAGGGCAGCCGAGCCTTTCACAGTCCCCTAGGTGCATACATTAGCAGAGATTTCTGGAATTGGCTTGTCCTGAGCCTGAAAATCTCAGGTCCTCCCCTGAGATACCGCCAGAGCCTTAGGAGAGATCGGGTCTGTGCAGTTCAGTATGCTTGACAGCAGAGAACTGGAAGTCCTCATTTGAGTCAAAATGAAGTTGTGGAAAATGCTTTAGATGAAAGTTGACAAAATTCCTTATAGAATGGGTGGTGGTCAGCACCTCAGAATCTGAGCCCAGAGTCAGTGCAGAGTTCAAGTGTGCAGTCACTCTTTCTGAACTGTCTCCATTGTGCACAAGCAGGAAAGTGACAAGACACTAAGCAACTTCTAACAGAGTCTGAGAAGTCCAGTCTTGTGTGAAATAAGACCATCAGTAATAATTAACTGTAGTAGGGGAGAGGGAATGGAAGAAGTTGCTATGATGCAAAGAAGAGAAATTCCAGAGTCCTGCTGTCTATCCTTCTGAGTCATTGCTGCACTCCGGTTCTGGACATCATGGCCCACTCCTATAAATCCTAGCCCTGGGGAGGTTAAGCCTAGAGGATCCCCATGAGCCTGAGGCCAGGCTGAGCTACATGCTTCATGGCCAGCCTGAACTACACAGTGAAACCCTGTCAAAAGGAAAAAAATCATCTAAGCAGCTTCAGAAACAAAAGGAAATTGAAATTCTTCTTCTAGAATTCTAACAGGACAGTGCAGTGACTCCAGTTAGTTCAAGTCCCTTGTATTACAAAGGCAGGTAAAGGGGCCGGGGAGATGGCTTAGTGGAATAAGCGCTTCCCTGGCAAGTGCAAGGGCCTGTGTTCAATCCCCAATTCTGAAAAAAAAAAAAAAAAAAAAAAAAAAAGGCAGGTAAAGAGGACCTTTCACCTGGAGAAGGGGAGGGACTGGAACTGGGGTCACTGAGTCCCTGTCCAGCACTCCAGGATAATCAGGAGAGGCAGAGAAAGGAGCGTTCCCAATCCCAGGCTATTCCTCAGAGACATCGCAGTAAAATGGAATAAATCAGCACCATACTTGTGCCTTCCTGTAATGTAAACAGTGCTCTTCATTGTCATAGCAGCAGGGTCTACTCAGCATTCCTCCTGTCCCCAAACCCCTCCATCTGGTACTCCTTCCTCTAGGAACCCAGTTTTCTATCCCTACCTCTCTTCTTGGACCTGAACAAACACATCCACCCCTTCCTGCCAGCCTCTAGCCCTTATTTTGCCCAATTCCCTAGGTCCCACATTTTCCAGTGCCCACATCATTTGTTTCATTTGTTGGTTGGTTTTGGTTTGTTTGGGGGTTCTTTGTTTAAAGGGAGGGTCTTGGTCTGTAATCCAGGCTGGGCTTCAATTTACTATGTACCCCCAGGCTGGCCACAAACTCATGACAGTCCTCCTGCCTCAACCTCCCAAGTGCTGGGATTACAGGTGTGTACCAGCCCCACTCCCCCAACACCATTTGTTCTTAGTTTGATAAGATTACTCACTATAAGGGCTGGCCAAATAGCTCAGCGGATTAAACCACCTGCAAGCAGTGGCCAGGTTCTATCCCTGGCCTGCCCTGCTGGCCCCGCCCTCAGGGCTCACTGAGCTGGTAATCCCAGCTCTTATTGTTTTTT